AAACAAATGCTGTTGTGACAGTGATGTACACTGTCTTGTTGGTATATGTATGATTTCTATACATTTTACATCAGATAAAAACTTTGGTTGTAAGATTCAGATATTTAATAAAAGCTAAATATTTTAAATGAGAATAAGAAAGAAAAGTATTTCTTTGTGCCCCCCTCTCCCTGTTAATGCCCCACCTGGCCCCTCGCAAAACTTTGCTAGATCCGCCCCTGCACAGTTACCAGCTGTCAGCTACTTAGAAAAGGATCCTGGTGTTATTTGTCTCTCAGAAACAGTTCCTAACTTCCCTTAATATTTTCTCTGAATGCGGGACGATTCCATTTTTTAGGGGACGGTTGGAAACTCTAATAACTAACCTTATGAATAAAATAAAGTTCAACATCAGTAACATCATAGCACCCACCCAGCTGTATAGAAACTCCATCATGCTAGCTAGTACGCAGTACGAGTTATTGTAACTGACGGCAAAAAGTCAGCAGAACGAAAATAAACTCCACCTAAACTTGGTTTATATCTGACCCAGATAGACTGCAGGTCATAACTTCTTACCTGAAGTTCAGTTCACCTGACACTCGGACCGGGGGCCGCCTCGGGTCTCTGCTCCTCCTGCCTCCCCTTTCCCTCATCCACCTGGCCTCTTGTGGCAGCTCCGCCAAAGCCATCAAACAACTGAGTTATTTTTACACATCACCCAGCATCTGGCCAATCCACCACCTTTCATTGTTTATACTGTTATAAAAAAAAAAATCATTTAGTATCGTCTAATTTGGCTACAAAGGGACTACTTGATGTATTAGGGCAGTGGTGTCCAACTCCAGTCCTGGAGAGTGACTGTCCTGCAGCTTTTAGATGAATCCTTGTTCTGACACACGCGCTCTCTTTTTTCAAATCTTCTAAAAAAAGGTACTAAAACATGAAAACCTTTATGATGACAGTCTTATTTCACAGCTTGCAGCAATCCTAGCGAATACCCCTGTCAGAATGATACACACTTGTTTAAAGTAGCTTGTAAGCAAAAACATATTCCTTGAACCATTTTTTGAGCTTCAATAGGAAATATTATATTGGACCTTATGTTGTCTTTTTATGCCAATAAAAGTAGAACAGTGCTGTGCCAACAGGAAATCTGAATTCACCATAATAAATGAAACATTCAAGACCACAGTCCTTCCTCTAAAGTCCCAACTTTCTTCACCTTCTACCCACTTAACCAAATCATTCACGCACCCTTGTATTGTACAGTAATTATGGTACAAAGTGTTGGTTTACAACACTCAAAGCTACTTAGCACTGACTACCATTGGCCAAATGGGGAGTTATACATCAACTGCTTTTATTAGATTAGAGCAAACCGCCAGCCATTATCACACACATTCACACACACACCTAACATTTCATTCCAGAAGCAGTTTTGGCGGGGGAAAAATACCAAACTTGTAGGCTGTGTGATTGTTTTTCATTGCGGTGTCACTGTGTCTGTCGTCAGCTGAGAGAGCAAACCCGCTCCAGGTACAAAGGATCAGTTTCTGTTTTCTGCTGTATACATCTTAGACTTTGTTTGTGTGTGTACATGTTTAAACAAGAGTGTGTACTTCCAGATAATTTCCAGCTAACTTCTCCCCACCCTGCTGATCATGCAAAACAAAATATTTTTCAACTGAAACTTTGGCTCTACCCTGACACGCCTTGCTTGTCAGGGTAAAGCCTTGCTTGCATGACATCCTGCTTGCATGTACTTTTCTTTAACAGCAGCCCCTAGATTTGAGTTTTAAGTGACTGAATACTTTTTTCCCCTGTAATATCCGAACCAAGACAGTTACATTAAAAAGATAGGACAGTTACTTAATAAAGAGAATAAAAAGTAGACAAAGCAATCTATATTTTGAGCACCAAATGCAAAAGGTTAAACAGGTCTGATGTGCATTATTCTACCGTATGTGGTCCAGAATTCAGAGTGTCCTTTTAGCAGAAAGATAACAAATGGAAGGCAGATAGTGGTGACAAAGAAAGAATGATTGTATGACAGCCTTGAACTCTCTGGCTATGAACTCTCACGTTTTCCCTCTCTCCTGCTCTCTTCCAGCTGTGTGCAGTTGTGGACATGTATTCGTTGCAGGAAGAATGTTTGAGGAAATGGGAAACGTTTTCCAGATGGTTGGGCTCATCGCCCTGTTCAGCTGCAGCAGTGTGAAAATGATCTGACTACTACCCATACATATGCCAAAAAGATGTGGAAACATGTGCATAACATACATGTAATAGAGGTGTGGGCAGTTAATTTTCCCAAAGGGCCACATGAGAAACTGAAAGTGTTGGCACTGCACCAATAAATTAAAATCAGTTCTGCTCAGTAGTATTTTTATTTCTTTATAAAGTGATACTTATTAGAGTAGATGTTACAATCAGACAATGAAAAACAAAACAGATCATAGTTAAAAAACTAATTAATCAAAATTCCAAAAAACATTTGTGAACAAAAAATTGCATGTTTCTGCAAAACGTCATAGACTTTCAACTTTATACAAAGTGCTATTGCTAATCTTATTGTTGTTTAATTACTCCATTTGTAGTGTTTTTTCTCTTTTTTTAACTTGAAAAAGTGGATTAACACTTTGAGAAAAGCTTACTTGTTGTTGTGATTTTTGGAGAAATCAAAAATCACAATAACAAGTAACAAGTAATAACAAGTACTCTGCATGTTTAGTCGCATAATGGTGGTTAAAATTAAAGTTTATAAACAGAACAATGTGCTCTCCACAAACTAATCACATTTACCTCTGATATCAGTAAAAAAAACAACAACAACAAAACCAACAAATACTTTGAAATCCATGTCTTGTTAAAAGTTTTACATTCTGCAATTATATTTCATTTTTTAATGTCAGGTTACATCTTGCAGGGCTAGGAAACTCAGATCTTACATAAACATAATAAAACTGACAAAACTGTATCATGATGTAGACCTCTGCATTGAATCATACTTATTATTAATCTCTGTCTCTCTTCCACAGCATGTCTTTAATCCTGTCTTCCTTCTCTCACCTCAACTGGTCGAAGCAGATGGCCCCGCCCCTCCCTGAGCCTGGTTCTGCTGGAGGTTTCTTCCTGTTAAGGGGGAGTTTTTCCTTCCCACTATCGCCAAAGTGCTTGCTTATAGAGGGTCATATGATTGGTGGGTTTTTCTCTCTATGCATTATTGTTTTTTCTCAAAGTGTTAATCCAGTTACAATATAAAGCACCTTAAAGGTGACTGCTGTTGTGATTTGGCGCTGTATAAATAAAACTGATTTAAATTGAATGATTTCCCACAAAAAAAGAGTCAGTCATTAAGCCCCTCTTTGATGGGGAGTTTGGTGGATGAAAGGTGGAAAAACTGCATGATGTATATTTATTTATTTCCCACTAACAAAGACTGTATGGTATAATGTGCTATACATGGCCACGTTGCAGGACCAATCAGATAGTGAGGTTTCCTCCACCATCCTTTCCATCATTCTCCATCTACTAAGTCCATATTCTGCTTGTTTTGTAAGCATCGCACCCCAAACTTTAAATGTTATTTTACAGTGTATTTGTTGCTTATTGCCAACAAATTTCAATAAATGGTAGAAAGAGTATGACCTTTTGTTTAAAGTGCTTAATATTACTTACTCTTACAATTATAATTTGTCTGATGATGTTTCATATGCAAAACAAATGCTTATATGTTCACTTTTTAGGGGAAAATCACTGCTAACTTTGGAGAAGAAAGTTAGCAGTGATTGGTGCCTTTTGGTAATGGCTTGTGTTTTGGTTTCATATCAGAAGAGCATTAAAAAAAATTACAAGTCGAATGAATGAGGGGGTCACACATGAGTATGTGTAAAACAAGAAGGAGTTCCTAGAATATACTGTCTAGTATTTCAGTGAGATTCATTTGTAAGTGTTGCACTTGTGAAATATTGCAGAAATGATTATGTGCTAAATAAAAACAGAACACAGTGCAATCAGTGCTTACTTTCTCATTGCTTTCCTATCCCACTTTGCTAGCTGCTGTCATAAGTGTATTTTGTGTTTGGGTTTCAAAAATCTTCCAAATAATTGCTTTAATTGGTTCAGCCTGTTTCAGTGGTGCAAATTCCAACAGTATCTGTAACCGGAAGGTTGCCGGTTCGATCCCTGGGCTCTCTGTCCTGGTCGTTGTGTCCTTGGGCAAGACACTTTACCCTACCGCCTACTGGTATTGGCCAGAGGGGCCGATGGCACGATATGGCAGCCTCGCTTCTGTCAGTCTGCCCCAGGGCAGCTGTGGCTACAACTGTAGCTGCCTCCACCAGTGTGTGAATGCGAGAGTGAATGAATAGTGGCATTGTAAAGCGCTTTGGGTGCCTTGAAAAGCGCTATATAAATCCAATCCATTATTATTATTATTATTATTATTATTATTACAGCAAGAGTCGCATTTAATATTTTTATTAAGACTAGCCCCACCCTATCATGTGATCTACTGAGGTCAAATGACCCAAGAACTGAGTTAAAGCGTCTGGGAAGGGATCTCAAAACTTGATTTTCGATGGCAGACAGTTGGTGTCGTAAGCCACCACTTCTGTTCAAAGATGGTTGTTCACAGTGGACATAGATGCCTTCTTTCACTCCTCTTTCAAACCATCTGTCTTCTCTGTCCAAAATGTGAACATTGGCATCCTCAAAAAAGTGACCTTTGTCCTTTAGATGCAGATGGGAGTCGAGTCTTGTCCTATAGAGATGGCTTTTCTATGTCATGCCATACCTTCTTTACACTCTTTCATCAAGTAATTTAATCAGAATATTTCTAAATTTTTAGTATGGTTCAAGATTTCTTTGTTTATCTTAATGTTTCAATAAGTTTTATACAGATCTAGATCCTCTCAGGACATTGGTAAGACCCCAGAGAGCTGTTTTCTGGTCCGAACCACTTGTGTTTAGAGAACAGACTGTCTGCTTACCATCTTAAGTAACCAGCAGACCTCTGTCTTTTTCCTTCTCTCCCTCTCTTTGTCTTTCTCTCCAGGCTGTGAAATATTCATGAAAGAGGGAGGTGATGAGATGGTGGAGGTGAAGTGTGTAGGGATGAAGGGAAGACGATGCTCTAGCCTCGATTAAGTATTTACACCACCCCTGACCATCTGGACGGAGGCAGAAACACAGAGAGAACAAAGAGACAGAAGGGAAAGAAATAAAATGTTCTGAATTAATCTAAAATAAATAAAGTTGAAGTGAGGGGAGGATGAGTTGAAGAAGGAAAGAGAAGGACAAGGGAAATGAAACATGCTGTCTTGATTAAGCCCAAAAGCGTGTGTTTCTACTTTGTGGCTCTCTCATGGTTTAGTTTGGGGAAATGTGATCTGGACCCCAGGGAGAGCTAATCATCAACACATTTGTAATGGTGGAATGACTGTGCGTGTGTGTAAGGTTGCACACACACACACACACACACACACACACACACTCCGCTTCTGAAACAAACTGATTAAGGAGGCATCAAAGTGGGAAGTGAGCTAGAGCTGTGATGCTACTAAAAAAGCCTCAAAGCAACAACTTCAAAACACTGAGTCAAATTAAAACAAAGATACACAATCAGCTGTAACAGTATGGATTTATTGCTGGTTTCACTGCCTCTGTACTCTCTGCTTGCCTCTCTATGTTACTGTTCACTCCTTTGATCAGCCACAACTTTAAAACCACCTGCTTGCATATCCAACAATACGAGCAGATGCTTCAGCACCTGTAAGATTTCCAATTCTTGCAAGACTTTCCCTGCTTATTCCAGGGCATTGACGGAGTGTATAAAAAAGATGGCTTCAGCCCATCTTGACTTCACTGTGAGTCACAAGGTAGCTGTTTAAATCCCATAATTTGCTTCACTAACTTTGTCTCTAAACTGGTCACCCTGAGCTGTCCTTCTGATATACTCTTTTATAATCTTCTCCATTATGTTCACTCCGAGTGGAAATCTTAATATCTTCAGCGCTGCCACCTCGCTACAATTCACAATGTCATCTATGAACCTCATAGTCCACAGAGACTTCAGCCTGACCTCATCTGTTTATCTGCCAATCACCACTGCAAGCAGGAAGCGGCTCAGATGTAATCACACTCCCACCTTGAATTATTGCTACCGCACACCTCAAGACAGTGTTGCTGTCCTCTAGGTTTCTCCATCATCAGTCTTAAACCAAAAACATTGCATCTGTATTGTTCTGTAGTGCATGAAGCTATAATGCTGCTCACCGATTGTCGCTACTCTTCTTAACCTTGCTTTCTCATAGCTCCATCATATGGCTCATCATTGTTATCCCTCTTTTACTTACAACACCACTGCACATCACTCTTGTTCTTAAGAACTGGCAGCAATACACTTCGTCTGCATTCCTCATGCATTCTTCTACTTCCTTTTCACTCCCCAGTATTGTGTTAAAATGTGGTCAAAGAGTCCATCGCCCTCTGTCCTAGACATCCCCATTCTTTTCAGCTCTGTAGCCAAGCTGACGAAGAGTCAGGGCTGTGTTTAACCATAACTTATAATGACATCATGAATTTCACTACAAATAAAATTTGTTAATGTTTTAATCTTATCTTTTATCTTACCTTCATGATGAATCTATCTCCATTATCTATCACAGGCCTTCAAGGTGTCAGTAATTAAACTATTACTTAAAAAGCCATCACTGTAGCTGTGAAGCTAATTATAGGCTAATCTCCATTTGTCTTTTATCTTAAAATTTTTTGTAACACTAGCTGTAAAACAGCTAACTGATCATTTGCAAAGGTTAGTAAGGTAGTTTACTATAAGGTTGTTTATTAACTCCTCTTACTTTTCTTTAAAGAGTACTGGAAACCACATGCACTATAATATACTCTTAGAAGTGAATATGAATAAAAAGAGACAGAAATCCATACACATATATAATATTACACAAAGAAATTAAATTTTGGCTGAACTGATGTTTTCCATATTTATTTTTTAATTTGAAATTGAACATCATCTATTTAAACTGGCTCTGTGGTTATAGTTGTGCATATCTGACAACTGAGCAGTACATGACACGCATACTGTCAGCAGTTGTGTTTGTGAAACCATGGTGTGCTTGATGTACTGTACATAGAAGTGCGAGGCTGTCAGACGATCTATTCATCCATAATGAAACAGTGAAGCCCCCCAGCACGATGGCTACCAGCCCTCTTCGCCTCTTCAAAAGATGTGTGAAGATGGCATGAATTATAAATACCCCCTCCACTCTAACACCAAAACCGTGTGATGAGCATAGGAGGACATGGATTACATATTGGTATCCTGGGTTAGATCATTTTAGAGTAATGGATGAGAAAGTGAAAATGTGATCAACATGGGTTTTTAAAGTGCAATTAAATATTTATTTTAGGAAACAAAGTAGTAAAAGTTTAGTTGGGGCTAAATATATTTTAAAGCAAAACTGAGGGTAAAAATGCTTGCATTTGACTAGTGTGAAATGCAATCCCATAAGCAGTAGCTCTAAGAGGTGAAGCTTTAAACAGCCAGTGTTTGAACCAGAGCGCAACAAGAGCAATTGTAGTATGTATCCTCCTTTTATTTGTTTTTGTATAAACATGAATTCACTCATAATCTAATGAAAATATCACATTGTAACACATACTCGCCACCAGATCACAAACAGAGGACAGACTCTGCCCAACATGTGAAGTTCTACGTATCATCTAAAAATAGGAAACACTTGCACGGAGAATTCAAAGCCAAAAAAGTGAAGTGCACATCTGCTCCTTCAGTGTGAGGATCAAAAAGGTTTACTGAGTATTTCATGGCTCCACTCAGAGCAACACAGAGTCTAAAGATGAGTTCTGTCAGCCTGCAGTCATCACTTTGTTTGGTAAAACACTTTTGCACTGGCAAAACCCTCACATCTTTGCCTAATCTCCAAGCGCCTTTCTTTCTGTTTGCTCTGAAGCTCTACCTGATGTAAAAAATAAATAAATAAATAAATAAATAAATAATACATGGTAAAAGACCTTACATATCCTGTTTTGGTGTCCTTGAGCAAGACTGAGTGGGAATATATCGTGGGTTTATGTATTGGCTTGCATTCTCTCCACCGTCCGCCATTGTCAAACGCTTTAGAGACCAGGACTGAAAAATATTAAAAGCTGAGTGATGGAGTAGAATTTTTCACATTATATAGGGTCATCGGTGCTTCCAGTAGCTAGCTATTTAATTCATGTTCATATCTTGAAATTAACGCACTAAACGTTTTGATTTGCGCCTGACTCCACAGTGTTGTGGTTTCCACATTTGCCTTATGAGCAACGATCCATGGGTGAGTCCTGGGAAGAAACACAAATTCTTTTAGGGTTACAACAGGAAGGACATCCAGTGTAAAAAAAACCTCCCCAAAAAACCCTGCCAAATCAAGCACGCAACACTGTGATGTGCTGTGGCAAGCCTTTGTCAAATTAAGCAGCAGCCAAAAGCTTTAAAGGTAATGGAATCTGATAATAATACATATTTTTGTTTGACTGGCTACTTTAAGTATTTTTAAAGAGCCAGAATGAGCAGGATTTAGAAATTATGTTACCCTTTCAGCAATGTTTCACCTAGTTTTTGTATGTAACACCAAGCATGGTTTCAAAAAGTCAAAGTGTGTCAAGACTACAAAGACAAACAAAGCTTCAGAGTTCTTGGAGGGAGATTAGAGCAGCGAGCAGGAAGCAAAGAAAACTGGTTTTATCTACAGGCTTGAAGGTGGACATTCAAAACACATGTTTAGACATCACATTTAGACCTTAGTTGCTTAGAGCTAAAACACCTAACCCACAGTAGTACAAAACTCTGACTGCAACTCTGGAGAATGGAAAAATATTATGACAATACTGCTGATACATAAGCAATTATTGGCCGAGGCCTAAACAAAATGAAAAGACAACGAATCAGGGAAAGACAACCTGTTGCCAAGACGTATTCGCGTTGCCTTACACGGATGAATCTGAGTAATCTTTGTGCAAGTAAATATTCTATTTTAACATGTGGACTTGTGGAAACACAAGTAAAAGATTCAGGTCTGTTGCCACTTTTCCCTTCTCCCTTCACAAAGAGCCATTCTCATGAGTCAAGATGTTTGGAGCTGTTTTATCAGCCATGTTATAGCATGGGTCCTTGAGCCAGTCATACCAAAATGAAAGACAGACATGTAGAAATCCCCCAGTGTCTTCCAGAATAAATATAAAGATAAATATAAGGAGTAAGACAAAGAAAAATAAGGATTTTGTTAAACTACAAGATTACCACTTGTTTATCTGTTTGATTAAAAGAAAACAGTCTTGACTGTTAGAGAAAAACTGCAAGGCAGCTCAATGTGTACAGTTAGCCAATGGCTTAGAGGTCTTTCCCATGTTTTCTCCAAGGTAACCACATCACGACATGTTTATGCCTTTGTTTTGGTAAGTCACGGTTACTCACGGATGATCTTTAGCATTCAGTGTACCAGTCTAGTCTCACAGAAACATTTGAACATATGTTTTCAATTCAAGATTCAAGGCTCTTTACTGTCATTGTGCAAGCACATATTAAGGCAATATAGTAATTCAGGCATCTTATACATTGCTTTGGTTACCTGGAGAGTCCCAGGTCTGTCACACAATGCCTTGTCACTCTGATATACACCTAACCAAATAGTTTTGGTGACTACAATTAATCAAACAGTAACAAAAACAGTAGCAAGTTGAATACAATGGGCACAAATCTAGCTTTGTGTCCACTGTCAAACCACTTTCGTGGATCAAAGACTTGACTTCAAGTTCCATCACACCAGACATCTCCATAATTAAAATGTCTGCCTTTCTGTGCGACAGGATTGAATGTGGACGTCATTCTTGATTTTTGTCAGCTGTCCCCCAAATCCAATTAAAAGCATCTCAAAAAGTCAGTAAGCAGCGCTTGAGTTTAGGTCATTTTGTTAAACTGCTTTTTCTGACAGTCAAACAGTTAGTCCTGCAGAGCTCCTTCAGTGACAGACTGCTGCATCCTAGATGCATGAAGGAGCGTTTCCGCAGGTCCTTCCTCCCTGCAGCTGTCAGACTGAACAATCTGAACTGCTCCCAACAAACATAGATGTTTACATCAATGCTGTAACTGCAATAAGTTAGTTAATTAACCAATTCGCACTACAACCTGGTTTGCCTCTTACCTGTAATTATTTTTATTTAATTTAATAACTGTACAGTACTCTCTGTTTATAGTAACCATTGTCCTTAATGTAAATATGTAAGAAAATTTGTGTATGTTTCTATTCCGTGTCCTGTGTACTGTTTGTTTGTATATTTGTCTTTTTGGCTGCTGTTACAACCAAATTTCCCCCTTGTGGGACAATTAAAGGATTATTCTATTTTACTCTATTCTATTCTATTCTAAATGAAAATGGTTAGTGTGTGAAGTGTCGGGGTCAAGCATTCAAGGCCATCATAAGACAATTAATCACTGTTACTAGTAAATACAGCAGAATCTTAATGCTAACTTTGGTCCTTTTTTTAAGAGTATACATGAATCATACTGACTAATTTGTATCCAAGATTGTTGGATCAGTCATAAATATTAAGTGAAAGTGTTCCACTAGGTACCAGTATATTTTGCTTATAGTCACAAGAAAAGCCTACTCAGGCGATAATACGACCTCAGTTCATTAACTCATCTGTCCTGGAAATTCTTTTCTCCTCTCACTGTTGTTGACTTTACCCCCGTGTGAAACCTGGCTTCTAGATGAACACCACCTGACAGGGTAAGACGGCAAACCCATTCATCCTCCCCCATCTTTCTCATTTGATCCTACAGCCTTGGGACTTCAAAGCCTATAGGCCGTAGAAATGTGGTTGTCTATGCACCATCCCAAACTAACAGCTACAAAGGATTTGAGTTACACCCCACAGATAATGCCTAACAAGACACGGTCAGATAGCTGTATGGATCCTGCTAATTTCATGGAAATTCCTGTTTTTGGACAGTGATGGCAGCAGGCAGGAGGCCAGCTTCTCCTCTCTCTAAATTCAGTGTGAACTGGATCTAAACTGGCAGTGATTTGGAGGATTTTTTTCTTTCTTGAATGAGCTGTCCAGTAGAGAGTCCCCAGCATTATTCATACAGTGCAACAATTAAATCATCAACAGGGGAAGGGGAAAAATATGTACATTATTCATATCAGTCCTCCAGGGGGACAAACAGTCAGAGCTAATGAGAGGCTGAAGCTTTGAAGTCATGGAGTCCTCGCTGAGGTGAATGGCATGAATTAAGTACAATCATCAGACACATTTTGCTCTATATGAATATCTTCTAGATGTCTAATTTTAGCTAATATTTTGTCAGTGTTCTAAGTTTTTATTAGGAAATTTGAATATAATTAAGTCCCTCTACCCCATTACCTACAAGGTCAGGCTCAGTTCCATTTCAGCACTCAGAAAGCTGTGGGAGAGGAAGTAAATTTAGTTGAAGGATAATATTCTATGGGAATATATGTCTGCAAACAAGCTGTACTTGTTGTCAAGTGGTGTGGAATGGATTTTATTTTCCACTGTTCAAATGTGAGAGAAGTGAGAAGGGTTTTTGGTGAGCAAGTGCTTTGCTAAATAGAGGAAGCAGTGCCAGCCAGACTTGACCCCTTTCCCTGGCACTGCTGCTGCCAGCCATCCTGCCCTGTGCCATGCTGATATGCTATCTGCCCAAACAGATGCCCGCTCTGGCCTCACAGCGCCACTCTCCGGTCCACCACTTTAGTTGTAGCTGCCTGCTGATGTTTTGTCCGCCCTAGCGCTCTGTTTCACCCTTGTCTCACCCTTGTCTCCTTGAAGAGGCACAACGGAGAGATAACTAGACCAGTGCTGACCTTCCTGTTCAAGGGAAGCGGTTTGGTGATGAAAGGTCTGCACGACAGTGGGGCCAGACATGACATAAAGACATCCAGCAAGAGCACACATGGTGTCTAAACGATCAGCTTACCGCCACAGTGAGCTTTCGAGGACCTTGGTGGAGTCAGCGTGGTAGTACTTGGTTAGGATAAGGATGACCTGCAAAAAGACATGATGGAGAGAGAGACATTTAGACAGTTATTTAGAACTTTTTAGTTAGTGAAATTAGAGCTAAGTTTTAGGTAGCTGAGATTAGACTTACAAGCAGCTGCCCAAAACCTCAACATGATGACAAGGCAAGGCTTTATCTGCACTTTTTCAAGTCACTAAGGTGGACTTAGTGATTCTAGTTTGTTTTGTACTAATGTTCCCGTGACTAATAAACTAGCTGTTTAAAGGGGAAAAAATCTGATCTGAGCATAATCAAACAGATTAGGTTAAAGCTATTTGAAACTATTAATTACACT